TTGGTCGTTTCCTTACTAAGAGCATTCAGTTCAGTTGCAGTCTTAAACGATCACCGACCCACGATCTTCGATATCGGAAGAGAACATATTCACCAATTCGTTCGTTCTGCAAGCGCCAAAGATTTCCATAATTAAAGCGACCTTCAAAATTACAGATGTAACAATCTATTCAATAGAGGAGAATCACAATGAAATTTTTACCTTATACATCAAAAAAATGTCATTAGGAGCTTCTCGCAAAAATTTTTTGAGCTGTTGTCGAGATACCTCTGATTTTTTAGGAACGTATCCTTTATTTTTATTCTTCACAAATGCTTCTACTTCATCGAACAGTTTAACATCAGTTTTTTCCCTTAAATGTAACATTGACCTTAGCATCGATAATTTGGGCCACAACGTATTTGGTGAATATTTGTGCGACTACGGATAGAATAAATTAGTCATACGTCAAAAATAACAAAAGTCATAGCAAAATACCAAATCTTCAAAAAATACAAGCAAAATATTTTCGTCGACACCATTCACCGAATTTCCTCTTCTCCACTCTTGAAAGTCTTCATACACTTTACTGTAACCAGCTTTAGATTTCACGGGAACCAAACATTCACGGGCTTTCGCCGCTTGTGATAGCACGTAGTTCGACATTTCATCAATTTTATTTATGACAGGACGCGACAATCAAAGCAGCCAATATTTACAAACACGGCCCTTAGCAACGTTACCAATCCGATTAATTCAAAAATTTAGAATCCAATATTTTTTGCAACATTATTGTATCAATCAGAAAAAAACTATTGATTACAACACGGGAAATATGAATTATTTCCCTTGGTTGTCTATACATCCCTCGGGTTTCACCCTCGGGATGTAACTAGCCAACCTCGGGAAATATAGTATTCATATTTCCCTAGTTGTAATAATAGCTATATCCCCTCCAAAAACTTGATGACATTAGCTCGAAAGTTTGCCGAATAAATCATATCTAAAATGTACAAAATATGATGAGTCTGTACTTGTCATTTATCACTCCATTCATATTTTTTGGATTTGCATATACAGAGTGACTCAAAAAAATTAATGTATGGATGAATTTATTTAATTGATTTAATCAGGAACTGCAAAACTGAATGCTTTGAAATCTTGCAGATGTTTTAAGGTTATAAAGAGCATAATAAATGTTTAGTCAAAATATATTTGCTTATCCCCTCCAAAAACTTGATGACGTCAGCTCGAAAGTTTGCCGAATAAATCATATCAAAAATGTACAAAATATGATCAGTCTGTACTTGTGATCTATCACTCCATTCATATTTTTTGGATTTGCATATACAGGGTGATTCAAGAAAATAAATGAAAGCGTAAATTTATTTTACTGATTTACTCAGGAACTACAAAACCGAATGCTTCGAAATCTTGAAGATATTTTAAAATTATCATAAGCATGGTAAATTTTTGATCAAAATGTATTTGGTCGTCCCCCCTAAAAAAATTATGACGTCACCACAAAATTTTGCTGAATAAATCCTATCTAAAATGTACAAAATATGGTGAGTCTCTTCTTGTGATTTATCATTCCATTCAAATTTTTTCGATTTGCATATCCAGGGTGATTCAAAAAAATTAATGAATGCGTAAATTTATTTTATTGATTTAATCAGGAACTACAAAACCGAATGCTTTGAAATCTTGCAGATGTTTTAAGGTTATAAAGAGCATAATAAATTTTTAATCAAAATATATTTGGTTATCTTCTACAAAAAACTGATGACGTCGGCTCAAAAGTTTGCCGAATAAATCGTATCTAAAATGTACAAAATATGATGAGTCTGTACTTGTGATTTATCATTCCATTCATATTTTTGGATTTGCATATGCAGAGTGACTCAAAAAAATTAATGAAGGCGTGAATTTATTTTATCGATTTAATCAGGAATTACAAAACCGAATGCTTTGAAATCTTGGGAATATTTTAAAGTTATTATAAGCATGGTAAACTTTTGTTCAAAATGTATTTGTTCATCCCTCCTAAAAAAATTGATGACGTCCCCTTAAATTTTGCTGAATAAATCCTATCTAAAATGCAAAAAATATGATGAGTTTGTACTTGTGATTTATCATTCCATTCATATTTTTTAGATTTTCTTAAGAGGTGGTTCAAAAAAATTAATGAAGTCAATTTATTTTATTGATTAAATTAAAGGCAACACTTATTATTAGTATTACACCCGAACCAACCCAATTTGGTAGACATAAAATTTGTTAAAGGAAAAACTCGGTTGAAACATAAGGGTAGCACGCTTATTTACATCGACTTTAACATTACAGACCTGCATTTGTTTTATGCGCTCACTTGGTTCCGCGAATGTGAAATAGACATGTTTATAATCAACCAATTGTGAATTTCACCGTCAAGAATTAAAATAAAACCCAATGTTTTATATAATAAGCGGAAGTCGAAGCAATAAAACCGATGGTCGTTTTGTTTACAGTTTCTTTGTTTGACTCTCACGTATGCTGTTACGCCTGTCATCTTAAATTAAGAATGTTTATACGTACACGATTTTCAGTTGCCTCTGATACGTATACGTGAGTAAATTGTTTCGTTATTTTATTGATTATTACAAATCAATATTCAAAACGACCCAATTCATTTTCCCGAAAATTTGAGAATATAATAATTTTATTCTTAGTATTGCACTACATCTATCCCAACTGATATACGTGTCCTTGCAAAAATGTTGATGACGTCATCGCAATTTTATTTTAAATTCCCACTACAAAAATGTAATGAGAAAAAAAACACAATAGGCATGCAGTCGTCAAGTTTCCGACAGCGAGGGAAGTACTGTCTAAACTCTTTAGACCAATTTTTTAACTTTTAGTGATTTTTTTTCTCTGTGTGCTTTTAAAATATAATCAGGATTTCGAATAGATAATCCCCTACGTTTCCTAGGATCAACAAGTTCCGGAAGAACGCATCCATAATAAAATTTTTGGGGTTTTAGAACCATTTTTTTACAAAATTCTTCGTCATATAGAACCTATGTAATTTTAACCCCTTTGAGTGTCCAAATGGCAAAAATACAAGATTTCCTTTTCGTTATGTGCAACTGGCCTTGCATTTGGTAATAATTTACATGTTCCTTATTTACTCTGTTTGTCCATTTTATGGTAAAACGAGGCATTCTGCTTGACAAAAAAAACATTATAGTAAAATTTTTTGCATTTAATTTTGATAGGTATGTATATTTAAATTTTTAAGTTCGATTTTCTAAATATTTTCAACATGTACAGTTGCGGCCTTCCAAAAGTACACGATAATTTTTTCTTTTGTAAATGTATAAATGTTCAAATCATAGGCGTTCGAATAATAAAATTTGTCAAATTTGACATTTTGTTTATTCAAAAATGCTGTCACTGGTAATAGCCAAAGCCAGACTTACATTAATTTAAAAATTCAAAAAATTCCATGACAACGAAAAATCGTGCACTTTTGGGGGCCTGCAACTGTACATCGCTACATAAAAATTGTATGTTGATTCTCTTTTGTTTTAAATTATATTGTCATTGACATGTTTTTAAGTGGCAACTTACTTATTTTTTTTTTGAAGAGTGAACATTTTTGAAAGTTTTTCTACAGCTATAGAAAAAACCTTTGATTATGCTAGATTTTTTACCAAATAATGTACTTTAAAATATAATACGAGTGTGGCGATTAAAATTAAAAAGTTTTTTCCACTAACTATGGAATTCCTGTTGAAGAAAATGACAATGACGACTCTCAAACAAGAAATCATTTTAAAATTTTTATGTAAAAATATGTATTTAAAAACTACAAAATCTATTTCTATTTTACTTGAAAGATGTAACGTGTGAGTCATAAAATCTTTCCCCTGAGTTAGCAATAAACATAAAAGATATGATCAATCTATACTATTAATAGAAAGAAATCTTGTTAGAACTTTTTATGATTTTTAAGTTTCTACTGTATAGGTATTTAACTTGTGAAGTACGCACAAACGTACATACCTGTTTATATAAAAGCAGTATTCTATTGAACAGATATATTTTCAGATTGATAAAATGACCACAAACTGTAAGCACTTGTATATTGCTACAAATACAGCAACTAAACTAAATGTAAAATTTTCAGTTGCCGACTTATGTTAGGATCCTATGACCAATCTCTGTGTAGAACAAAAGTAAGAAGACAATAAAATCTGAATTTCTGTGAAAATTAGCTAAATAATTTCTAGTAAAAAAAATCTCCTGAATCATAACACAGTTGGCCTCTTCACTTTAATCCATTTATCTATGAGTGATGGCGTTAAGCTCTTTAGGCGTATACCTGCTCTCATCCCCAGTAAACCAGAAAATTACTCAGCTTGAAAAATATTTCCGAATCTGTTTTTTCGGCATGTGTTTTAGAGTTTGTTTATTATCCGATTTTCATTTTTCAAAAACTTATCTACTACAGAGTAAATTTACTACAGATGTCTGTAAGTAAAATTTGGAAATTTTACTTACAAGTTATAAATAATAAAAGCACTCAAAATTTCAGAAATTGTAAGGCTTAAAAAGTATGTTCAAATACAGTTTTTTCAAAAAACTAAAAAGCAGATCTATAGAGTTTTTTCCGTAGATTATATATACGAAAAATTGTTGTGATTGGACCAAGGGTTTTCTGTAAAAGACGTGCCCCGTTTTACAGAAAAGTTTTGGCATACGCTGACGATTTGAAGTTATACTGTCCCATTGTTACGAGCCAAACTCACAGCTCGTTGCCGGCCTGCTAGTGGAGAAGGGGTGAGTTCCTGCGGGTGCAAAGGTCAGGTCGTCAGGTCAGGTCAGGTCGCTAGAGGTTCGCAAAGAAGAGAGAGCACACTGTTTTGTGTAGCGACGTCGCCAGGGCGCCACCAGTTTTTATTAAGACACAATTACAACAACAAAAAACCGGAAAAATATTTAACTATTGTAATTGCAAGCTGTTACTTAAATTATTGGTTACAAGAAAACCTAAGGTCACTAATTAAAAATAAAATAAGAGTGATAAATAACTAAATAAGTAAGCAAAAGGAAATGAGTAAGATATTAATGATAACGATTTAATGCGACTAACGGTTTACGATGAATACGAGCAATACGAACGATAGTTTAATTACGAAAGGCGATGAACTAATTAACGATAAATACGAGCGATACGAACGATGTTTACGAAACGAACAAGTTAGTTGGGGTCGTAACGAATAACGATTTGATTAATTATTTCGAGGGCTATGAGATAAACGAAGTAGGCCACACGCTCGGTAGTCCTAACGTACGTACGAAGGTATTAACGTAGAGCGAAGCGTCACACTCTTACCGATTGTTATTACTAGGTTATGTGCGAGTGCTAGTTACGCCGAACTTCGAAACGTGTTGCGATACAATAAAGAAAAGGTAAGGCGACTAATACTTAATCTTAATGCGATGGAATGGAAGTACCATGGGCACCTGCCTCCTTCGATATCCACGACGAGATGTCGAAACACAGCGGCGTCGCAGCGAAGTTCCAGTCGATGTCGAGTCGAGGTTTTTGGTGATTCTCCAGCTGTTCTGGGAGGGCTCACAACTGCCCACGACAGTTGGAATTCATAGAATTCGTTCTCCCACTCGAAACTGGCTCCAATTTTCGATCACGGGAATAGCAAGATCAGCGACAAAACAAAAAAGCTGCAAGGAGAGCAAAGTCTGAGAAGATGTTCGAACTCAGTCAACCCCAAGGGTTCCACATGTCACATGCACTTGGTAAGTAGCAAAATATTATCGTTAACATGAAAATAACCATAACCACTGTTCGAAGGGATGCCAGGGAAAAGCTAATCAAAAGATTTACCTGCGGATCGACTGCAGCTTCTCCGATGTTAGCGGGATGGTCTAGTGCCCTTAACCCAAAATCCGACAAAGTCGTAGTGCTCGAATGCACTATATCTTTTACAGCTCACAAATGCGCTCCAAGCGATAGCACCTTTTAGGGGACCCAACAGATCCGACGAATGCGATTCCAAACGTAACACCAAATAAAAGGTTGCTAAAACGAACTGCAAAAGAGGAAAGCACTAACCCCCAACACCATTCAACACGAAGTACCAAAGCAAAATGGATTCCCTTCCACCTGCGATGACGTGGCAAGGTAACGAAGCGAGAATTAACGGAAGTTTGGCCCTCTAGTGGCAAACTTACGAAACGTTGAATTCCGACGAAAATCCCTAATCGATGTAACTATTAAGTGGATGCGATGGTTATTACAAAAGAAAAAAAAAACAAACAAGGCTATCAAGATTCCAGAAATGACGAAGACTCTAGGGGACGCTCCACGGCGTTTGTTCCCACCTAGGTAAGCAAATGAAATTCGCGAACAAAAATAACAAACAGAACGAAAATCGAATTTCAGAGTGAAGCTCTGGGATGGCGCGATCCATCCAGTTCCTTATAGCAAGAACCAAGCTGAAACGATCCAGAAGACCGATCTACAAACAGCGAGGCTGAAACACTCATCTGAGCCCCTCCAAGCTCAGAATCATCGCGACAGTCTTGCGACTGGGGGAGTCAAAAGCTCGGGACGAACCCTCCACCAAAGTTGTCCTTCATTGCCACCGTGCCCAACCCAACCACCCATGCACGAAATGACGAAACAAAAAAAAACGAGTAAACAAAATGTAATCCGATCCGAGAATGCCAATAAAAACCGAAATAGCTACTGCGAATTTTCAATTCGTAACACCATTTCAAACAGTGATGATGTTAAAACCTTCCAAAGGAACCTTGATACATTAGTAGATTGGTGCAACAAGTCCGAGTTGTTATTAAATGCAGATAAGTGTTATGTAATGACATTCAGTAGGAAAGTAAATGTGGTAAAATCAGACTATACCATCAACGGTCGGATTCTTTGCAAGAAGAATGAGGTAAAGGATCTTGGTGTTCTTTTTGATTCGCGCCTTTCATTTGTGGAGCACATCAGTAACATATCCACCTCAGCATCTAAAATGCTTGGATTTATATTTCGGGTATCAAAAACTTTTCAAGATCCTCTTCTGTTAAAAAGTCTGTATTTTGCGTATGTGGTAAGCAAGATGGAATATGCCTCTGTTGTCTGGTATCCTTACTATGTGATACATAATCTTGCTGTTGAAAAGGTACAGCGTCGCTTCTTGAAGTATCTTTCGTATAAAATTGATGGATTTTATCCTCAAAGAAATATAGACTACAATTACCTCCTTCAGAAACATGGATTTGTTAGTTTAAAGAATCGACGTGAAGAGCATAGTGCTCGTTTCATATCCAGATTGATAAGTGGCAAGATAGATTGTCCTGAATTGTTGGAACGAGTCAATTTTCATGTACCACGTGTTGCGTCTCGCTACATGGCCACGTTTCATCAACCAATTTCTAGAACGAATTTGCTAAGAAAGGCACCGTTAGTTCATATGTGCAGTAATGCTGATAAACTGTATGATGATATTTTTTTTCTTCCAAGTAAACTGTAATGTGTTCGTTTATTTAGTTTATAATAAGGATAGCTTCTAATTGTGGGTATGATAATAATTTAGTTTGGGAACGAATATGATCTTATTTACATTTTTATTTTACGTTGTTTATTTTATTTTATTTTGCTACTAGTTAAGTTAATATTGTCCAGTAATTGGATTGTATCTGTTGGGCAATAAACATTAATATTATTATTAAGACCCACCACTGACCCGGAAATGACCGGCATTCAGGCAAGACTTCTATCATTACGGGTACTAAGACCAAGTAATGATATGCTTTGATTAGATTAACAGAACAACTTTCGAGATTCTAGAATTACAGCATACAAATTAGTCTGCTATTATTCTCTAATCTCACCCCATCCCCAAAAGTCAAGCGTAACTACCGATCATTTATCCGCGCATCACATGAAAAGTGACCTACACTACTCTGACCTACTGGTGCTAATCTAATCTGACTGACATGATCAGACTGTTCAAGAAACTTACGAACAATATGACATGTTCCTAACAAAACAGCTTTTTGAATTTTGACAATTATTGAATCATTCAAGTGCAAAGACTTTAAATTCTCAACTAAGCTATTTGGAACTACACCTACATTAGAGATAACTAGGGGTAGAATTGAAATTTTTTTAAGATTTAACATGGATTTAATTTCTATCGATAATTGTAGATATTTGGAAATCTTGGTGTCGTATGTTTGAATAATGTTGTTTGTGTTGGGAATAGCAATGTCAATGAGAATGGCTTCGTTCGTGTGTTTTTTGATAAGTATGATGTCTGGTCTGTTAGCTGTAATGTTTAAGTCTGTAAGTATTGTGCGATCCCAGTATAATTTGTATTTGTTATTTTCAAGGAACGGAGATGGAATGTAAGTGTAATAGGGTGTCGTATCTTCGATTAAATTCATAAGTGTTGCTAATTCTTTGTGAATGATTTTGGCTGCGTTGTCGTGTCTAGCTTTGTAATCAGTTTGTGCTAGGATGCTGCAAGAAGAGATTATGTGCTGTATCGTTTCAGGTTTTGCTTTGCAGAGGCGACAGCAGTCGTTTTTTATGTTCGGATCTTTGATGATGTATTTTCTATAATTCTTGGTATTGATTACTTGGTCTTGAATAGCAAACACAAATCCTTCTGTTTCGGCATACAAACTTGATTTTTTTAACCAAATCAATGACATCTTCTTATTGACATGATTTTCTTCTAAGTCTTTGTAGAATTTTCCATGTAGTTGTTTTTGTTTTAGCCCACTTATTATTTTATCTATTGTGTGGGGGGTGTGGATTTCTTCGGTGTTCGACAGATTTAAGGGTGTGTGGTTCAAATCTGCTCTTGTGATGGTGCGAAACATTTCATTTCTTTCCGCTCGTTTCAAGAAATACTTCTTCAAATCTGAGATTTGTCTCTGATATAAGTTTTCTAAGTTCTGGAAACCCCTTCCTCCATTCTGTCTTGGTAATGAGAATCTTTCAATCGATGATTTTGGGTGATGCCTTCTATACTGTGTGAAGATTTTCCTTGTTGCGATGTTTAAATTTTCAAGATCAGTTTTGGACCATTTAATGACTCCAAAAGAATATGTTAGCAGTGGAACGCAGAATGTATTTACTGCTTTCATTAAATTTTTTCCATTTAACTGTGTCTTCAATATTAATTTTAATCTCGCTACGTATTGATCTTTCAACTGTGTTTTCGTTTTGGTATGATTATTATTTCCCCTATACCGAAATCTACTTCAGCTCCCCCGTAAGTTAGTGTCTGTTAAGAAGATTTTTATTGTTTTGATTTTCTGCGTGACTTGATAATTTAGATACACATTTGGCATCAAAAGAAAGCTATTTTAAAATTGTAACATAGTTGTTTGTCATATAAATACATGTTTTCGAATAACCAGCCATTACTACTTATTGGGCAGAAAAATTGCCAAATGATAAAAAAGGATAGTACCTATACCCAAAAAGGACGGCAGCCAGAGAAAGAGGCAAGAGGTTAGTGAAGGAAGCTTGGAAGGTTACAGAGGTAGGGGGTACTATCGACGGAGAGGAAACAGAAACAAGGAAGCTGGAAGAGGTGAGGAAATGGCAGGGGTGCAACGAGGGATATATCCAGGAATAGATAAGGTTACAAGGGCAGGGAAGGAAACAGAGGCAGGAGAGAATACTTAGATTGGGAGCAAAGTAGAACCGCAGCCACAAATGAAATGAGGGTGTACGCTAGCACATTTAACGTTACTGTATACCACCATTTTTAAAGAAGATTTTTAATTGTACTTTTTCTGTGTGTGTTTAATTTGTGTTGTGTTATTTTGCATTATTAAATAAGTACATTGAAATGAAACTCATTTTTTATTATTGTATTTAATTAACTCGGAATTACCTACTTTAACGACAATGAACTATGAGAATAGTCGTTTTTCTCAGGTAAATCTTTAATAAGGGAGAAAAACACGGTAGGTTAGTACTGTCTAAACTCTTTAGACCAATTTTTTTGAGACACCCCGTATAAGCAAATCCAAAAAATTTTAATGTAGTGATAAATCACAAGTACCTATAGGCTCATCATATTTTGTACATTTAAGATAGCATATATTCAGCGAAATTTTAATTTTTATATCATACTTGCTATGCTTACGCATCGTAAACCTCGGAAGCACGAATCACCCAATCGGAAGCACGAATCACCCAAATTTTGAGGTGACGTTATAAATTTTTTAGGGAAGATAAATAAGTACATTTTGACTAACCATTTACCATGCCTAGTAGTGGAGTGCCGTAAGGTTTATACCTCGGAACCCGGTTCTACTGAATGGATTTTTGTAAAACCTTTTGGAATGTGTTTTTAACACTAAATACTAAAATGTTTTAATTATTTATGTATCAAGGGCGTAAGAAATGCGTTTTTGGCCCCCGGCGTGGCATAGCAACAGAAACGTGCGTGTGAGAGGCGCTCCGCTTGGAAAAGCAGAATTGCACGTTTGTTGACAACAAGAATATTGTCGGTTCGGTGTATGAACAATAGTTGAGCCGAGGTGTGATAATAGTGTGGCACACCCGGGCAGTTGCAGAGTTTGAAGCAAAAACGAGGTAAGAAGTGCACGAAAAGAAACAAGAGACGTTGTGTTGTCGCCGGAGAAGGTCATCCTCTCCGACAAGTCGATTGGGAGGACGACCTTATCGCCGGCACTGAAGATAAGATACACTGTTACGACAGGGACGGCTTAAGGAAATTCAGATAGGCACAAGTAAATGTCCATATACAGTAAATTATTATCAAATGACAGAGGAAGGAAAGTACAGGAAAGAAAGTAGAAGCCGTAAAAGGAGCCAACCAGACCACGATACGTCACTGGAAGATAAAGCTTTCCAAAAAAGTAAGGTAACAAGCAGGTCACCAACAAAAATCACCCCACTCAAAAAGCAAGAAATGGAAGACATAAAAAAGTTGTTAGCGGAAATGAAGAGAGACCTAAAAAAGGAGATGGAAGAAAATAAGAAAGAAATAAGGGATGGTATTTATGATTTAAAGAAAGACTTAACAGATCTAAGAACAGAAACCCGAGAAAACAAGGAAGAAATACAAAACCTGAGACAAGAAATAGAGAAGAAGGAAGAAAGTTGGATAAAGGAGAAAAACGAATTAAGGGACAAACTAGCTGAAATGGAAGAAAGACTGGAAACCTTAGAAAGAGACAAAAGAAGGAATAATCTAGTAATAACTGGAATAAAAATAAATACAGATAATGAAGAAATATTAAAAGAAGCAATACAAAATATGATTGAAAAGGAAATCGGACTACAAATAGAGGTGACAAAGGCATATAAAGTAGGCGAAAAGATATGCATTATTGAAACAAAAAACTGGAATGACAAAATGGAAATTCTAAAAAAGAAAAGTGTGTTAAAGAACAGACCCAAAGGACAGGAAATATATATTAACCCAGATTACACTGTGAAAGAAAGGATAATTCAAAAGAAAATACGAGAGTTTGCAAAGAAGGAGAGAGAACACGGAATCTCTGTGAAAGTTAAATTTCAAAAAGTTGAAGTAGAAGGGAAATTATGGAAGTGGAGCAAAAAAGACGATAAACTTATAGAAGATAAGATAAGAGAAGACTCAAAAAACTAGCAGAAATTGAAAAGGAAGGAACGATGATGACATTTGCTACGGAAAAGGAATATGAACAAGAAAAAGAAAAGGGAAGAAAAAAGAAAATCGAACAAAGAAAGAAATCAGGAGAAACTGAAAATACAAAAGAAACCTTGGACGAAGAAAAGGATAGAATAAGTATTATTTTTTGGAACATATGTGGGTTGAAGAAAAAAGATAAAGACTTTTGGGATTATATAAGGAAATTCGAGGTGGTGGGCTTGGTTGAGACTTGGGTAGAAGAAAAAAACTGGGAAAATACTAGAAATAAATTGCCAAAAGAATATAGATGGAAATCCGAACATGCGAAAAGAAGCAAGAAGAGGGGAAGAGCAAAGGGTGGAATAATAACAGGCATTAAGGAAGATGTAGAAGAAATAGAGGAAGAGAGAATTAAATCAGTTGAAGGAATACAAGAGAGAAGAATTAAAATAGGGGACAATAGTTGGAGGATAATGACAGTATACAGTCAGAACGTAAAAAAGACCAGTAGAGATTTAGATGAAATAAATTATGAAATAGATGAAAAATATTGCTTGGTGGTAGGCGGGGATTTTAATGCTAGAATTGGAAACAAGGGAGCTGAATGGGAGTGGGACAAGGAAAAGGATGAGGGAAAAAGTAAATCAAAAGACCGAACAGAGAACAAAGAAGGAAAGAAACTGTTGGAGTTGGTAGAGGAAAAGGGATGGAAAATACTGAATGGGAATACAGAAGGTGACAAAGAGGGTGAATACACATATATAGGGGGGCAAGGGAGATCAGTTATAGATTATGTTATCTGTAATGAAATAGCGGACCATGGCATCAGAGATATGGAGGTTGGAATAAGGAGCGACTCAGATCACCTACCAACAATTACACAGGTGGAAAAAACTAAGAAGGAAGAGTTAGAGAACAGAAGAGAAAAAGAGATATACGAATGGAATGAGAAGTCGATTGAAGAATATAGAAGAAAACTGAGAGAGTACAATACAGGAGGAGGAACAGTGGAAGAGATGGCCAGAAAACTAAAAGTAGAGATGGGGAAGGCATCTCGTAAGAAGGTTATCAAAATGGGAGGAATAGAAAAGAGGGGAATTTCATGGTGGGACGAAGAATGCTGGCAGAAGAAAATAGAAGTAAGAAGGAAATTGAGACGATGGCTAAAGAACAGAGGTAATGAAAAGGAATATAGAAAAGAAATTAAGGACTATAAGAAATTAATAAAAGAGACGAAAGCAAAGAAACAGGATGAAGAAGACCAGAAATTAAAGGATATAAGAACGGAAGCGGAAGCATGGAAATATATAAACCAAGAAAGGAAGATAAAAACGGGACCAAGTAAGAACATCAAGATAGAAGAATGGCGGGAATATTTTATAAGAATTTTAGAAGGCGCAGAAACTAACGAAGAACAGAAGACAGAAGTAAATAGACAGGAAACAGGCACAATAGAAGAAAGGGAAGAAATAGGGAAGGAAGAGGTGATAAGAGTAATAGGGAAAATGAAGAAAGGAAAAGCTGCAGGAATAGACGGCATTCAGAACGAACACTGGATTTACGCAACAGAGAATATAGTTGAGGGACTCACGAAAATGTTAGATAAGATCTGGAAAGGAGAAGGGTTACCAGAAGAATGGAGAGTGGGGTTAATCAGTCCCCTGCACAAGAAAGGAAACAGAGAAAAAGTAGAAAACTATAGAGGAATTACGTTGTTGAATACAACTTACAAGATCTACAGTTCCATTTTACAACATAAGTTGGAAAGGGATATAGAGGAAAAACAACTGCTACCAGAGGTGCAAATGGGATTTAGAAAGGGAAGAGGAACAATTGAATGCATAGCGACCCTGGATCACATAGTAAGGAGGGAATTAAACGAAAAAGGAGGAAAGGTATACGCGCTCTTTGTAGATTTGAAAGCGGCTTTTGATATGGTTAATAGGGAAAGACTATGGCAGATAATGAAAGACATGGGCATCAGTAAAACACTAATAGAGAGAATTAGAGAAATCTACAGAGAGACAGAAAATAGAATCAGAGTTAATGGAGAAACGTCGATGAATTTCTGGACGAAGAAAGGAGTTAGGCAAGGATGTCCATTAAGTCCAACGCTCTTTTCCTTGTATATAGCAAAATTAGAAGAAAATCTTAGGAAGGCACAGATGGGAGGGGTCACTTTAGGGAAAACAAAAATCTGGTCACTACAGTATGCAGACGATATCGTCCTACTGGCAAAAACGGGTAAAGAAATAAGAGAGATGATGAAAACCCTACAAACATTTTTAAGAAGGAGAGAACTGCAAATGAATGTAGAAAAAACGAAAATGATGGTTTTCAGAAAGGCGGTAGGGAGAAGTAAGAAAGAGGTTTGGCAATGGGAAGAAAAGACGATAGAAGAAGTAGCGACGTTTAAATATCTAGGGTATACATTTCAAAGAAATGGAAGAAGAACCCAACATTTGGAAAATACAGTAAAGAAGGCAAATAGATTGTTGAAGGCGGTATGGGGACTGGCAGAGAGAAGGTTGAAGAACGATTTCGTTAGAAGAATATGGCTCTTCGACAGCTTAATAAAAAGTGTTATTATGTACGGTGCTGAAATCTGGGGATGGAAGGAAAGGGAGAGCCTAGAACGAGTACAGGCAAAGTATTTGAAATGGACGTTAGGGTTGGAAAAAGAGACACCAGAGTACATTGTATTAGAGGAAACGAAGAGAGAAAAACTAAGAATAGAAGCAGCACGAAGGGCAATGAAATTTGAAGAGAAGATCAGGCAGAACGTTGAATGCAAAATAATGAAAGAAATGTGGGAAGAGATAAGGGTAAATTATAAGAAGACAGCGGAAGAAAGAAGAGAATTTTACGAAGTAAGAGGTCTAACGGCAGAAGAAGTAGAGAGAAAAAGGATAGAGGGAGCAGAGCCCAGGAAGGAAATTTTAAATCTAGATGAAGAGTTACAAAGAAAAGAGCAAAGGAAAAAAATAGCAGAGTCCAGATATAATCCAAAATATGGAGAAATAATAGGAGGTCTAAA